TGTCATGAATTTGTTTTTGCGTATCTGTTAACCGACTTAATTAGTTGATTATTAGCGAATTGCTGTGTTATGTCTGTCATCGTTTAGGTCTATTTGAAGTTTTGGACGGAACTTGGCTCAGTGGTTTGGAACTAATTACAAGATACCGTCGCTATTCTGACATCCGTAGTTATTAATGTAGTGAACGATTAATCAAAAGATATGACGTATTCAGTACTTAGTGTGATTGGCTTTATGATTGAAGGTTACGCCCTAGAGTCTTTTTACTGCATTGTAATTGGTCAGAGTTTTGGAAATGAATAAAGAGAGTTTGAGTTGGTCTTGGCGAATACTCCACGATAGACGCAGTAGAGAGAGAGCAGTCTGAGAGTCCGAGAGAGTCTTGGGGCGAGCCTTGACGCAGTCCAGTCTTGGGCGAGTCTTGGGTCAGCCTTGCGAGAGTCTTGGGGATTTTTTCCCCAGGGCGCTGTGTCTTATAGAGTGCTCGATTGACCGACTAAGACGAGAGTTGAAACGTATTTCGTTGTGTGTGTCTTATTTGACTGTAAAGTTAAAGTGACTTTCCCGATCCCGTACCTCAAGGGGACGAGATAGAGAGACGAGACGAGTTTCCCCCCTGACAAGTGTGGAGAACCCCAGAAAGAGAGATTTACCCCTGATAGTACACATAAATCCAAATATATATTTATGTATGCATTATGGTCTTTCCTAATTATTCTTCTTTGTCGGATGTATTGTTTTTTGACGGTCATACCAAGGACAGTGGTTGGCGCCTTGTGATCCACAATGGACCATACCGTAACTACTGTTAAATATAGAATGCAGTAACATTACTATTTAACAAAGTTCAGTCACATCCCACCGAGAGGGTTGCTTACCCGATGTCCTTGCTCTATTACCGACACTAACACAACTCCCTGAATGTGCCAGTCACGCATCGATATACTTTATTACTACAATAAACACAGAAAAGTAATAAAAGAAAAGCAAGCACATGCTGTAGTTAGCAAACGTGAAGACAACCTCTTGAAAACTCATCTTACTTATATTATAGAAACTATCCTAGATGTGAAAGACATATAAAGAATGCATTCAGACAGTTTGATATAAATACAAGGTCGTGATTATATCTATTTGATATCGTGACAAAGTATTTTGATGTTTTACAGATATATTGATAACAATTGTCACGACAGTTTCGAGTGACGTCATGTCACTGTTTGCAAAACAACTATTATGAGTAGTCTTCTGGAACAATGCCAGCAGGTTTGCGTATCATATGTATGCCTTCTGTTATTTGCTTTCAATGGAACATTTATTTTTTGTGGCAATGAATAAATTGTTATATTCTATTGAGAGAATAGAAGTGAGGTAAACAGTATAATGCTACTACATTTATAACACTAGTTTTAGTGCTTTTCGACCAATCAGGATTTTCTATACCCTAAACGTCCTATTTCCGGGTCTTATTCCTTACCTCAAGTCAGATCATTTTGTTATTATACATTGTTGCAATATCCTTATTTAAGTCACAGGACATAACATACGAAACTTTGACTTTCACTATACTAAGTAGAAACCACATATTAAGCTAAGCTCAAACCTAGAGCTCACATAACGGGTGATGTGATAAATGCGCTGTTATCTGGGAGACGACCTTTGACCCTTTGACTATATAAGTTTTCAAGTGAGATCATGAATATTCATTAGTTGATCATTATGCATATCTTGCCTTTCGGGTCTACCTGTACAATTACAGTATGCAAGTTGTATGCGAACAATGACTTGACATTTCGAAAGTTCAACTTTCAAACAGACGTCACGTTCTTTGTATGTGCGATGATTTCGTGATTGGCCAGAATGGCCAACTCGCTGTCATTGTAAAACTAAACAATAGTCAGGTAGTTTGATATGTCTGTGTGATCAGATCTTGGACGCATTTTGCCATTTTTTTATTATGAGTAGTTTTACACGTCACTTTGTTTTGTCAAAGTTGCCGACTGGCGGCCTTTTTGCTTTTTTCAGATTTCATTTCAGACATGTAGTTGGTACATTCATTGAGCAATGCACTTTAAACGTTATACATAAACATATAGAATAATTATGTCACCCAGTCAAAAACAACTATGAGGTTATTACGAGGATACCTCAAAGTATGCACTCAGACAGTACAGCTGGAGTATCGATGCGCGGCGTACTGTCTAAGTGCATACTTTGAGGTATCTTCGTAATAACCTTATTATTAAACATCTTTTCCTTCTAAGGATACATCATGGAAATGCCGAAATCCAAAATGTTTAGAACAGAATCGGCAAACTTCTTTGTGTGAAGCCCAGTCAAACTCTAATGGCAGCCATGTTTGTTTTTATTATAAGAGGACGCTTATGCGCGCCATCATTCCATAATTGGAATTCCCATTTCCTAATATGGTAGAATGAAAATACCCCGTAAAATACCGTAAAATTACGGCACGCTGAAACGTATGGCGTTACGGTGACAGATGTATAGTAATTCTCATCATTTTAGTAAAGAACTCTCAAATCAGATATTTTTTGATATTACTTGTTCATACAAAAGAAAGTTCTTGCATTTGGCATACAGATGTATGCGTGGAGCAATACTTTTTAAAAATATTACTTATTTTTTTTTATAAATTTTCAATCAAAATGTGATTGAATCGATCTGTCTCTCAAGTATGGTCACCGGGATTACTATGTCTGTCAATTCTGTGATCAATGCATGCCCTTGTCTAACATTAACTTGGTTATACACAACATTTATTTGATGTGACACCAGGCTACCAGCCAACCCCCGTATGCACACACATAGTGATATATCAGTGTCACAAAGTCTTTTGAGTAGCTTTTGTTTTCATATACCAGTAAACTCAATTCAGATATATCGCCTGTAATTTATTAATGCAATGATTAAGAAACTTTTATTGAGTGTAATATAATTAATGAACTAGTGTTGTCATGCGATCATTTTCTTGCGGATTAAAACCACGAATACCACTTGAATTCCTGCTCTAGAAAGCACTCACACGTCACAGACCTCCGCTACGCAACTGTTCCCCCATATATTGTGAATTACATCTAAAGCTAATGCTCTCTCTTACATTAATTTTATCTATATTTTGGGATTTCCTGGTCATGAAAACATACACTAAACATTTGGAATTATAGTTATATCACTGTTCGCAAAAACTCCCGAATCTATCTCTGTAACTATTGAAATTGCATCATATTCATTGACACAATATGATGGAGCAGAGGTTAATCTTTAATATAGGTTCGGGTGCATGTCTGTAGATTCATTTGTTACCTTATAGTGTTTGTGAACTTCCCTGCTTTGGCATACATTCATTTTTACTGACCTACTAACTGACTATCTGTACTGTATTCTTTTATTGGAGAGTTGATTTCTGCGATTAATAACGGCCCTCTTTTTGACAGTGTACCATTTTCAGAATAAGAACCTACGAACTACAATGAACAGCTATTCAAAACCAAGTGCGCCCTCTACCACAAGAATGTTAAATGAGTTACATTTGTACCCCCCAAAATTATTTTACTTTAATGCGTTGTAAATAAGTAACAATCAAGTTACCATAATATATATGTTTTCAGTAAAATATATGACTATTAAAGTTATATTATTTCTTTAACACGTCGGGATGAGTACAGTGTAGTTGGGGTAGAACGTTCCACCGCCTGCACTGTCACGCTCCGAATCGTGTTGTCACATATAGCATTGAAATGAAATGCTGGAAGTATACCACCGCTCTGTAGAATGACCTTATATTTGTTTTATTATATTTTGTTATTATTTAATGTAAGATTAATATTTTTATCAGTCTATTCCTGCATTAAAAATCTTAGCTTTAGCTTTACATTTCACTTTCTGTGGAAGATCTATCGTATATTTTGAGACGCATGTATTAAATGAAGCTACACTGTGTTACTATTTGTGTGTAATAAATAATAAAATGATGACAACCACTTTATGTGAACAGATATATAGATGTAATAACTGAAATATGTTATGAGAACAAACATATAATATATTTAGACCCTTTAGCCCTGTAACAGCTGGTAAAAATCAAAACTAGTGCCCGGTGGCCGAGTAAAAAACGTCTGAAATTTCACTAAATCAAATTACATATATATTCTCAAAAGATTATTTGAATATTTTTTGTTCCAGTTCGGCAATTACAAAATAAGTCCTCTACTTTTTATAACAATACAGCTCATCGTAACTTCTATCTCAAACAATTATTTTTCATTAAAATGTAGTATTGTCCTATAGAATTTATTTTATTGAATTATATATAAAGATATATAAAGTGAGATTCAAGGCATATTTTTTTATTTTAATGCTATTTGTCATGGCTATACTCAAAACACCATTTTCCATAAAATTCGTGTAAGAATTCCATAGAGTTCCATAGATATTGCACACTCAATGTATTAACTTAGCTGTGATGAATTTGTTTTTGCGTATCTGTTGACCGACTT